ATAATTGTAGATATTAGAGTGAAACCAATCCACATTTGTTCATGGAAACTCATACCCAAAGGCCTCAGAAGTTAAATATTTTGGCTGGCGTCTTAGGGGATCATATTATCGGGCCGTTTTTTATTCCTGACAATTTAAATGGCGAAAGGCACCTCGATCTGTTAGAAAATAACATCGACCCAATGATTACCCTAATCCTCGAAGACGATAATCTTTTAGAGGGCGAACTGATTTTTTCAACGGGATGGGACACCCCCACATTTTGCTATAGCAGTCCGTCAATTTTTGGATAATTGGTTTCCTTAGCGATGGATTGGAAGAAGAGGTCCTGTGGGGTGGCCCGCTAGGTCACCGGATTTAACTCCCTTGGATTTCTTTCTGTGGGGACATTTGAAATCGAAGGTATTTGCAACAAAACCCGCATCTCTGAAAGAGTTACGTGAAAGAATTTTCGAGAATGCCGTTTATTGACTCCACATGTGTTCAGAAATGTTCGTACAGAATTTCAAGACAGATGATACTACTGTATGGAAGTCGGTGGGGGTCATTTTGAACAATACATACGATAATTTAAACTGCTTCTTTTATTTTTATTTCCCGAACCTAAAATAATGAAACAATTATTTCTCAGGAACGAATCGAAAAAAGTTTAAAAAAAATACACAGTTATGTAGAGAATTGAAGTACACCTTTCAAAAGATGTATCACTCGACCCCCTTTGCCTCCTCACATATAACCATAATGGAGATATGATCTATTCAGATGTTTTTGTTTACTATGACATTCTTTAACTGTCAATAGGTATTATGATTAGAGTTGGCAAATCGGTCTGCAAGTCACGGGCGGTGCCAGGTAGAGAAATACCCAAATACATAAACGAGACTTGTTTACTATTTTAGCAAAGACTAACATTTGCTTTTAGTCTATTGTTATGCCTCGTGGTATGTACAACGTAATTTATTCCTCTCCATTGTATTGTTGATAACTTTATTTGTTGTAATTTATTCTTGATATTAATTTAATAATAAAGCATGTCAGACATGCCCAAGGGTAAAAAATGGTCATACGCTGAATAAGTGAATAAATTTATCGGTGAATTCCCGGATTTATTCTACAATGGTGCTATAATAATTTGTAAGGTGTGCGAGACAGACCTGATGTGCTGGGACAAATGTGAGTGTAAACGTCACGTAAATTCTGTGCAACATAAAACAAAAAAAATGGCGTGTCTTCGACCACACAGTTTATGTTTGATTTATTCTTAATGCTGCTTGCCTGTGATGTTCTGCCGCACATACTTGATAAACAACCATTTCAGGAGTTCTGGAATAAATACAATCCAAAGGTGACGTTACCAAGTCGCACAACGTTTCGTAACTATGTACCAACTGTAAGCGAAGACATTGTAAATAAGATCAAGTGTACTAAAAAATATACGGCTGTGGTTATGTGTTGACGAGACGAGAGATTTTAAAAAATATATATATTTTAAATGTTATAGTACGTGTACTGGACCCTCTTAAACAGACATTTCCATATTACTAACTAGCAAAAGATTAACTGAGTGTACTGGCAAAACAATTACACGGGTGGTGCTGGAGACGTTAGAAAAATTTGACCTGTAAAAAAAGTGAAGTGTTGATATTTGTGACCTATGGTGCTGCGACAATGCGTTTGGTAGGCCGTTCTCTTCAACAACACGGTTGTAGGTTGGTACATGTTACGCGTAATCTGCGTTGTCTGTCAGCAAAGGTTAGGGTTTTTTAGTGCCTTGTGAACCATAAGCTGGCTGGACAGACATTTTTTTTATTTCAACTATTTTTTAGCAACATTTGAAATTTTGATCCATTTTTCGTCACTTTGATGTCAAATTGTTCAAAAACTGACCGATAAAAATGTCTGCCACAATAATACAGTATTGTACATACCGAAACAAACATTTTGCGCCAGGTTTGGTCCGGTAACTAAAAAATTGTTTTTTTAATTTCCAGTCACCGTACGCCGACCGACCGGAAGTTTTGTCTGCCAGCGTAATTGAGGTATGTGGAGTACATATACTAATTACCTATGCGGACAAATATTGGTAACCAATCAATTAAAAAGAAATGCCCCCCCCCCCCCTCCGTATCCGGCCGCCATACCAAAAATTTCAAAAGAGACAAAAGTATGGTACTCATATGGTCTCTTTGATTACCGACTATCAGACGGTAACCTTTCATCGTCGAATTTGCACGCTATTATATGGGTTTAGTGAAAGAACATTTGGAAAACTCATATTATTTTCACATTTTGATTGATTGATTCTCAAGTTGTCGAGGTACAATTCGGACCACCCTGTATATTTAGCGGCAAAGATAAAAAATGTGTATAAAATTTACGTATTTGACGGTTAAATAATTTTTTATCTATGTATAAGATTTCTACAAGTTAGATAATTCCACTAATCAATAAATATACCAATTCCCAGGTAGGCATAGCATTAAGTAAAAATAAATTTAACTGATTGTGAGTACCTACTTGGAAGATTATATTCTAATAATACATAGATTTATGGTTTATGAATAACAAAATTTACTGTGGCTGTAGGTAATGCAGATAAAACATTAAATACAAAAGTTAAAGTAATTTACAGTATATTATAGAGGACGAACTCCGCATATCATGATCATAGTCACGTAATCGTAAAATCACTTTAGAATATGATTCACTTTATAAAAAATCATTTACATTAGTCTACTCTTCGCAATTTAAGATTCTCATTCTCTTAAGCCATAAATAAATTATTTTCAAGAGGACTTAGCATTTCACCTACCAAGTTGGCATCATCCGGAAGTGATTAAAATTAAATTTGTTAGTATAAGTCTAATGTACCCAGCGTCAGCTTCCAAACCACTACTAGTCGAAATAATCCTTTAGTACGTTAATAAACTGTAAAGGGAGCTTGACTTAGGTGAGACTATAGCAGTAATCAAAAAGTAATCTTAAAAATGATTACTAATTACCGAGTAATAGTAATCTGATTAATTTTTCATTAGAGTAATCAATTAGCTAGGAATCTTGATTACTTTTTCCATTAGTAACCGGACATAGTGAAACACAGCATCCTGGGAATGCCTTCGGATACTATACCTACCATGACCAACTACGAGCTGACCTTCAACATCCTATCTCCAGAAAGAGATGGTGGGATCGGAATAAGCCGACCTACTGAAGGCAGACAGTTGCTGGTTTACAGACGGCTCCAAAACTCCCGAAGGAACAGGAGCCGGAGTATATAGCTACAGACCAAGAGTGAGGATATTCTCAAGCCCGGGTACTCATGCAACTGTTTTTCAGCCTAAAGTTCATGCCATTGAACTGTGTGTACGAAGGCTGGAATATATGCATCTTACACGCAGATCAATAAAAATGTTCTCAGATAGCCAAGCAGCTATAAAAGCTCTTGGCTCCTACCGGTGTAACTCCAAAACGGTATGGAATTGTCAGAAAGCTCTAAATCATTTAAGCAAGAACAACAAAGTGACTCTGGTCTGGATATCCGGCCACTCTGGTATTGAAGGTAACGAAATAGCGGACTTCTTAGCCAGAGAAGGAGCGGGATCACGATTCATCGGACCAGAACCAATACTTGGCATATCCTCAAGTACTGCCAAGATGGCTATCTCAACCTGGGCTGAAAGGAAAACTCTCCAGTATTGGCAAGAGTTACCAGGATTAGTTCATTCGAAGGCGTTTATAATGAAATCAAGAGCTAAGAAATTTTTAGAGTTAAACAGGGTAAACCTGAAAACTCTAACAGGCCTATATACCGGGCACTGTCGACTAAACTATCATCTGCATAAACTCGGCCTAGCGGAAAACGCCGAGTGCCGTCTATGCCTGGAGGATGATGAGAAGGCAGACCACATCTTATGCACCTGTCCCGCTGTGGAGAGGATCCGATTCTCAATATTTGGCAAAGGGCAACTGCTGCCAGAGGATCTGGACACATTCTCATCCAATAAAGTTATCAGTTTCATTAAGAGACTGAACTTATTGGGTGAAATATAATTAGGCGTGAGCCACAATAGGCCTGCTGATGGCCGCAGTGGAAGGTCTACTGAGACCCACTCACAACAAACCTAACCTAATCTAACCTAACCGGTAATCTGTAATTGCTTACTTTTTGGCGGTAATCTCCCCAGCTCTGCTGCTACCACGTGCTTTTTCCGCAATTTATGTTAATGGATATGTCAATTATTAACTATAAATCCGCAGATGTTTTCTTTGATTCTCTTCGCCGCCGTGGCCGACGACTTTTCGAGAAATGTTATCATGAATTTTCATAACAATCGTATGAGCCAAATAGAACCCACATGAAGTAGTAGAGATAATTTGTCAGGTTTCAAATTATTGGTTATTTTCTTACTGGACTGTACTTTTTACTTACACGACTCACCGGTGAATCATCAGATTTTTCTGGAAGATGAACTGGCTGGTATGTTAAGAGATCTACCGATAATATGGTGTATGCATGATACCGCTCCAGCGCACTTTACTCTCAGGTGCGTTAATTTCTGGACGATTGCCAGATCTTAATCCTGTTGATTTTTTTCTTTCGGGGCATTTTAAATCATTAGTTTGTACTACCTCAATAAAAATTGATCTAGTAAACCGCATTATTAGTGCTTGTGCAACACCTTGGCTTTTTGAACGTGTTCGTCTGTCTGTGAGAAGGGTGGATTCATGTATTATGACTGATGGAGGTAATTTCCAGCAGTCTTTGTGAATATTACTTTTTTATCATCCAAATAGTTTTAACCCAGTTTCTAGAATTGTTTGTTGATTAAAATAAATTATTGAAACAAATCCATCTGATTGAAAACGTGATTATTAAACACCACACCACAGATAATACAACCCCCTGTGTCATGTGCGGGAGAGCGCTACACATTTAAAGACAATGAACACACATCCAATGTTCGAGTACGCTAGGATTTTCTGGTTTAGAAAAAATCCTATCTTCTAGACCGGGGATTGAACCCGGGATTACTTGGGTGAGAGGCAAGTGTCCTTAGCACTCGACCACAAAGCCACGTGATGATTTAAGTTAACTTTGCCCTGTTTCATAAAGTTATTCTACCACTCTAATTTTAATTTTGAACTTCTTTCATATTTTTATCTGACAATACAATATTTATTCATCGTCTACAACATACCTCCGCCATATTTTAAGAAAATAGACAACATTTTAAAAGCTTTATTTATTACTAAACCAATAAACTTGTAGTAAGACTATGTGTAAAGAAAATGTATCGACTTATTTAATAAACATATTCAATGTTATATAAATAAACAATATGAAATATTGATCATTATGAACTTGAACAAATAAATTTGTTACCATACAGCGGCGGAACCAAATCATATGGTCAATACTAGGAAACTGAATTATTTTTTAATATCCAAAATCTTGTAAGAAAATGTTGACGTAGAAAATTTTAAAATTATTTGCTACACACTTCAATGCATTTTAATTTATACAGTCTGTGTGGATTTAAAACTATAAAATTACACACACCAACTCCTGGCAAATAATTGACTAATTTGGACTTATTCTAAACAAATACTAAAGGAAAATTTTTAGCTTAAAATAATTAATGATAATGTTAAAACTTCAAATTAGAGTATTTACAAATTTACACAAATATTGTTTATTGGTTAACAGGAAAATATTCAAACACAAAAACTCGCTTAAGGCAATTCGAATGTTGATCGGCCATGTCAGACTGTTTGTATATTACGTACAATTTGGAACATAATAATTATTGTTCTAATATAAAAATATTATAACTTGAAAGAATGTTTGCAAAACAAAAATTTTAAGTGAGAAAAACGTACAAAAAGAAAAGAAGAGAAGGAATAATTTTGAATTTTGTGTATGGGTTAGGCCTAAAGAGGTTGTCGAAAGATGGACGTTTGGTATCCTTGTAAATGTCCTATAGGCAGGTATCTGTCTAAAGCTGTCATAAGAGGAAGTATTTGTATTTGCGTATCGTAGTCGTGGATGCAGAGCACCATGCGGGAGCGGTGTATACCAAAGCCGATCGTATTATAGTTGTGTGTATACTCGCAAGTCGTTTGTTAGTCTTGTTGAGTCTGCTATTTTTGACCAAAAGTGGATATAAATTTTTTGTTGGTGCGTAATCTTTTCGTATAATCATTGTAATATGTTTGTTAAATGAGAGTCCTCTATGGAAATGCACGCCGAGATATTTTACTTTCGTCTTTGCTTGAATTTGGTGTCCGTTGATCGTAATTGGAGACAAAATTTTAGTATCTTTAAATTTCTTGGTAAACACTATAATCTCCGTCTTATCCTCATTCAGCTTGATTTCCCACTGACAATAGTACGCTGTAGCTCTGTACATGTGTGCTTTTAGAAGCATGTTAGCAGCTTATGCACTATGCGAGTGATTTTATATAGCCGAATCGTCAGCGTACATAGCCAGTTTAGTATTAGGAAAGTGAAAAAAATCAGAGGCGTATAGATTGAATAGTTTCGGTCCTAAAACGGAACCCTGCGATACACCCGCATGAATGCTCTTATGTGCTAGAGTGTATTTTTAATTTTAGTTGATAAGAATGTATGAGTTTTATTAAGTGGAACGGAAATTTGTAAGTGTGCATCTTGTATATAAGCCCCGATATCCAGACGGTATCCAAAGCTTCTTCGATGTCTAAAAGCACCATAGTGGTGCTCTCATTCAGGTTGTATTACAGCTTGATATCATTAACGGTCCTGACGACCTACTGCGCTGTAAGTGACCCTTTTTAAATTCAAACTGGTGGTGATCATTCATGGACATCCCAAGTCCTGTTTAACTTGCTGAGGATGATTTTTTCCACCAGTTTTAGTTATTATTTTGTTCAAGAAGGTTAACTGAGATTTCACCCGTCTGTTTTCGAGGCTATATAAAGAAAATCTTTCCAGCATATATGCATTTGGATATCCAATAGCTGGGTATACTCCATCCTTTCTGAAGCAAGCATGTTTTAAAAACATTCGCTGTACCTTTTCAATAATATTAACATATCCATATGTTATAATAAGGATACCAAATAATAGCTGCATATTCAAGCTTAGATCGCACAAAGGTGTTATAAAGCACGGAAGTTTCTTATAATAAAGCCTAACATTTTAAAACTCTCTGATGTTATGCTATTAACATGATTTATGAAAGATTGTTTGCTATCAAATATTATACCTAAGTTTGGAAAGACAGTAGGCCTTGCAATTACGATATTATTAAGAGTATAGTCAAAATTTAGTGCTTGTATTTTATTAGAAGATGTCATAACATTGCACTTTGTGATGTTTAAGGGTAATTTATCTTTAATGCACCACATATTAAGGTTTTCCAAATCTTTCTGCAGAGTAAAACAATTTTTAATATTTTTAATAATAGAATAAATCTTTAAATCACCCGCATATAATAAATATTTACAATTTAAATTAGATATGATGTCATTTATAAAGATATTAAAAGTAAGGGTCTTAAATTCGAGCCTTGAGGAACTCCAGAAGTGTTTGAAAATGTTGACGATATATTCGCCTTGAGAAATCATGATTTGACAATTATCTTTCCTGTGGTCAATTTGTATTCTATTTCCTGTAGTTTCTTGTCTAGTCTTTTATTCCATTGACAACTTGATCGACGTAATCGCTAGCATTTTGTACTAAGTACATTTTAATCTTTTAATGCATTCCTCTTGCTTTGGAACCATGTAACTGAGTAACTAGATTGTATATTGGGTAAATTTGCGACCTTCTTAGTCAACCATTTTGACAGTTGATCCAATTGCTGAAACAATGTGGTGTATTCCAGTTACTATAAACATTGTGGACCAGAGTTCTTTTGTAATAATAGTCTCCACAACAGGCAAAATAACACTTGATTGGCGCCAAACTAATTTATATTTGAGCCTGTATATAATTTGTTATTTATCATATGCGTAAATTTTTTAATGACAGAATAACTGACCTTGAGGACTATCAATTAGGTTCATATTTATCTATTTCTTCATTCCTTTCTGTCATTTAAATAATTATTTTTATTGATACAGCAACGCTAGTTTAAAGTGACTCGTAAATTGCTATGATTTATTGTTAGTCAAACGAATTTATGCATCAGTAGAGATTGGAAAGGAATAGCGGTCTGATCCCCTTGCAGGTTCTAGATTTTTATTTCAATTGAAATGTATACCGATCGATAACGATAAAAATTATCGCAGTTTACCATTACTCGTGGTATTATCAGAAAACAATTAGTTACACTAGACATTTATGAGGGTTATACATATTACATTGAAATATCTAGGCATTTGTCGTTATCTTCAAAAATATTAGAATCATAGTTTTTATGAAAAAAAATATACGGTTCCATTTAAAAGAGCTCATCACGCAAGCTGTGACGTCATTTTTAAATTTTCCTTACTTTTTTTACACACTCTATATTGAATTGATCCCCTAATACTTACAAGTGTTTAAAAATATATTTTATTTTTTGAACAATATTAATTTTCCGATCACTCTTGCTTTAGTTGATGTTCAATTGTTTTTGCTTGTTTCATATTCGGAAAACATATAACCACCATGTTTAATTTTTTTTCTAGTTCAAAAATAAAGCAAAGAAATCAAATGGCACACCTAAAATCGATCACCCTGTACGCAATTTCAAAGTGGCACTGTTTTTATGTAGGAAAATTATAAAGCGGAAATGATACACCCACCTGTATAATGGAATATCAAAGCCAATGTCAATGGTTTGTCATTAAACAAGTTAATGTAATTAATTCTAATACCTTGTTCGTAATAATTACAATTAATAGTTGCATCATAAGAAACTCGCATTTTTAACTAATATTTTGTTCAACATCGCCAGTTTTATAGAAATTGTACAAAAAAATTACATGTTTATAATGTTAAATAAACTAGATAATAAATCATTATTATACAGGGCGTTTTGAAAATACCTGGTCGCCGCTAATGAGACCTTTCTGGCATCAAAATAAACTTATTAGGACAATGTCAAATTATTTTAATGTCGATTATGAATTTCTATATTATCATTCATTTCAAAACTTTTTTTCCCAAGTAACAACTCTAAGATACTTTTGATTTATTTAGGTTTTAAAAGTGCTTTAACATGTTCAATAAAATGATAGTGGTTTTAAAATTACCTTAAGATAAACTAAAAGTTCTTAAAGACCACTGATTCTATGCAAAGGATTTAATGCACTCTTTAAATTAAAATAAAAAAACTGTTTGCTCCTAATGCCCTATTGATCTTATACTAGTTTTATAATACTCTTGACATTAGCTATTTTAAAACTAATTTGCCTTTTTAAAGAATTAAATAGCAAGTTGGTTTTAAAACAATCCATTTTGGAACAAATGGTTTTAATATAGTTTTATGGAATATCCTTGATCTAGTCATTAAAACCCATTAAGAAAACTATTTTATCTTAAGCCTATATGCTCAATGAAATTCCACATTAAATCCTAAAACATAGTTTTTACTTTTTAAAGAGTAAATTAAGAATATTTTAAAGATCAAAGTTTTTAATTTAGTCAATTTGATTAAAAGAAATGCCTGTTGGATTTTTTGATGACTTTATTAAAACTAATTCTACCCCCTCCATAATCGGAGAAAACACGCCATCTGATCAATAAACTGATTGCTGATTTAATGAACCAGTGCAGTCCGTGTACCTACTTTATGCATGAATGAAAATTAGAAGACATATTTAAAATGGAAAATATTAGTGACAAGTATTTTAAATTAAAACGAAGTCACTAAATCCAGCAATCACAAAACCGGCACAATTTTAAGGTTAGGATTTCATGCGCGCGCCAGATCCCTTTAAATCAATAAGGCCACGAGTTTGAACATATTAAAGCAACTCAGTTTTAAAAGGAAGAGTAAATAAATGTCTGGGAGAGTAATTGTACTTAAAGTGGTAAATAAAACGCTATTTTAAGTCTTGTAAGATTTAAAATGTTCTATTAACTTGCAATCAGTTTTTATCT